GAGTTTCACAATCTAGGAGCTGACCCTGTACATACTAACTTGAATTAATGCGGTGGAATAAACAAACCTAATGCAATCTAAATGGGACTCCTAAAAGAGCAGAAAAAGAAGGCGTAATTAAAACCTATTCAAGGAAAATCCACACTCTGTGCCTGAGGAGGAGAGGATGCAGCTGTGTCCATGCATTCATTGGCCTCCAACGAACTCCACACTGTGCCCTGGCTCCAGCCACTAGCCAGTTCCAAGCCCTCCACAGAGGGCAATAGAGACTCTGAGCAGCTGGCTAAGCCAATATGGTGAAGTCCAGTTCCCAGAAGAGAAGACAAGCTGGAGGGTAGGGTCAGCAGATCCAGGGAAAAACTATGAACCCCTCCATCTTTTCCAGTACAACCATTAATGGTTAAGCTTTATGAATTTTTAAATAGTTAAATCTCTAATACCGAATATTGTTCTATTGCTAGTGGAGATACAGAGTTGTATTTAGAAAATGTTTACTATGTGTCAGTATCTGGTTTGTTTCTGTGTTTCTTCTATGATTATAGAGTCTCTTTATGGTTAATAGTGGCACATTGTTCCTTAAAGTATATCAATATTATTATTGTTGACTTCATTGCTATGCATGATGGTTACTAAAGTTGGTTTTCTCAGTGTACCAGTATCTGAATTGCCTTTGTATCATTAACAAGATTGAAGACCATTCCCAAAGCACTGAGTGCTAGGCCAAATATACTGCAGCCTGGCCTTGCAAATAAATAGAGACAGAAAGATTTTGGAACAGAGGCAAAAACCTGTAGTTAGCTACACCCAAGTCTCCTCATTAGCACAAAGCCTTTCATTATAATAAATAGAAGCCCTAGGGCAAAACAAAACAAATGAAACAAGCAAACAAAAAATAAAAGTTGGGAAGATCAGGCCACAATATACTTGTCATGCCATAATTCCCTTAAACCATGGACATTAGAGGTGTAAGAAATCAAAAGTTACATAGCTAAATTATTTGAAAAGATAACAGGGACTAAAATACAAATCAATGATTAGATAATGGACCTAATAAAATGATCAGCAGTGTAACAGAAGACACTAATAAAAAGCTAGCTGCACTTAACAAAATGATACCAAATTTGAATGACAAGTGTAGCAAAGAATTAGAGTCCCTGAAATGTTATCAAATATAAAACTAAGAGACTAAAAATTCTATGGGAAAGATAAGTGACAAAAGTGACCAATGGTAGGAACATTGTCAGATCTAAAAGACAAGGCTATAGTTGGTGACCTACATACATTGTAAGTTTTGAAAATTTCCAAAGGGGAGTTTTCATTAATAATGCAATAATACCTCCTGACCTGAAAGGCTTTTATAACCTGGTTACTTTCATTCCTTGTCTAAGATCCAATGCTGAAACTTTCTGAGTAAACCTGGGACAGTTTCATTGTTGTCATTAAACCTAAACAAAAAACTTTTGTGAATAAGATTTCCTTTAAATGATTAAAACAACAAATTGCAATACAGGTACTTACTGATTTACATCTGTTTATCTGTCTTGAGACATGAAATGAGACAGTTTCCATATTATATAGTGATAAACAAACTACAATTGTAAATATCAATGCAACAAATCCATAGCTAACAGTCAGGAAATGCTAAATTCACCAAAAGGAGAACAGGTCATTCTATCAGGAGAGCAGGTGACATTATTAGGAGAACAGGTCAGATTAAAAGGGGCTGACAATACAAGTCAGAGCTGATTAATAGCTAGATACCTGTGTAATAGGCAAATACTCTCACCCCCTGGAGAGCAGTGGTTTTTACATGGACACTGATGAGGATAGATTAAATAGAAAGCTATGCAAAAATACATACCTGTGTGCCATTGATTCAACAAAATCTACTGAAGCTACATTAGCTTGACTATATTCAACATGTATAATCAGAAGTTTGTTAAAAACAAATATTCTTTAATACATATCCCACTAAACAGAGTAACCAACTACATAAACAGAAACAGGATTGGAAGAGAAAAATCAGTCATTTACAAGTATACATTTAAGAAGTTAAAATAATTCCATCAATGACTGACAGCTCCAGAAGGCAGGGCAATCTTTAAAGTCACACATAAAATTAACAAGATAACAGTTCAAAGCAATATATCAGATGCATTCTATTGAATTTTTTGTCATAGGAATACATAGCACACTGTGCTTCTGAGCTAAGAAGCATTCTAACTTGTGACCCAGCTTCAGAGCAGCAATACAGAATGTCAGTGGGGTGGAAGTCATGCAAAGCAGGCTCTTATACAATACTGGAAAGAAATTAGAAATGAAAAGAAGAAACAAATTAAGAATACTCTTACAATGAGAGATGAAATCACAAATTTTAAATGATACATTTCAAAAAAATAGCTTAAGTAATTAAAGGTTTCACAATCCATGACAATGAATGTACATTTGAATTATTTCAGTTACTCAAAATTGATACTTCAAAAGATATTAAAAACAATGAATATAGATCCTGGAAAAGAACAAAGCCTTCAATTTCAGAACATTAGAGAACACAGGGCAGACGGAAGCTCATCGGTGTGGCTGTGAGCTGAGTGCAGGGAATCACTCTGCACCGTGGTGTTTGGCAAGTCTCAGACTAGGGCCAGCAGTGCCCATAACAGACCCATCTCTGAGCCTTGGGAATTGAGTTCCCAGAGAGAACTAGAGAAAAGTGCTGCAGAATAAAAGTGTTAATCACTCCACAGGAAATAGGATATCTCATTGGTCTATATTTGTGCAGATTTTAAGAAACAATAAAGAAGAAACTCTTAAAAGTAATCACTGCATTTTTGAGAAATTAATGTAATTTAATACATTAAAATCTAGGGGAAAAGCATTCTACAATGTTGTCAGTAGACACACACAAAAAAATAAAATCTGCAGAGAATAAGTTGGAATTTATACAAATATATTCACTTTCAAATAACAGAGTATATAGTGAAAAAACTTACAGTTCCAACAAAAATTTAATAGAATTTGTAAGAAAATGTACTACAGACAATATCTCTGGATTGAAATACAAATATGAGCCAACATAAAGGGGCTGGGGATTTAAATCAGTGGCATAAGCACCTGCCTGGCAAGTGCAAGGTCTTGAGTTCAATCTCTGGTACCAAAACTTTTTTTTAAGTGAGCCAATGTAAACATATATCAGTTATAAACAATTGGATTGCAAATTATGACTATTATACCACATGCAATTCACAGTGACAATTTCAAAAATGTGAAAACCACATATGAAACTGCTATGAAAAGCACAAATTGCATCATTTAGCATGTCCTTTTAAACAATGTCCAGTAGCTGTCAGTGAATTGTAATAATTACATGACCAATGGTGCTTCTCTCTCTCTATACTCCAAGAAAAAATTCCTTTACAAGGGTAGGGTTACAGTTCAGCAACACAGTGCCAGCCTGGAAATGTGAGCCTGTCAGTTGGATTTCCAGTTTTAAAGCATTGCATGTACATGTGAATTCCCTACTTCAAAGAGATCACTTTGTGGGTTTAACAGGTTGACCCTTTTCAAGTTGTCCTTTGCGGCACTATTTCACCTTCCATTATTTAAATTCCATTTACAACATCCAACTTTTATCATTATAAGGTACAGAAGCTAATGTATTCAACAGTTTATTCTTTTGTCACATGACTCTAGATAAGACAGTAGTTTACACAAGCCTGGCAAGGGTCCTAACAATTATTTTTATCACAGCTAATCCTAAAACAATGCATGTTAAAATTTATTTATGTTAATTTTTGAAAAAGATTTTATGTGATACTTAAACATCCAAAAAATGACTTTGGAATTGTGAGGGTGTCGTTGTTAATTTTGAAATTTCAGCATCATGACAATAAAGCTCAATGTGGAGGTTACAATTTGTCTGTTTTAAACCTCATATTGTTATTTAAACTCTCATTTAAATTTGCATAGTTAGATGTCCCTTGCACTCCCTATAACTGACATAAAATATCTAAAAATGCCACCTGACCTTATCCTGCATCAGAAAGGAATCTAGACTTATGAAAACTAATCCCAGCAGGAGACCAGAATGAGAGCTGCACGCAGCCCCACCCTCAATCTCTTCTCTGTGAGGAGGCAAGGACTTAGCATGGTAAATTTTCCATACTAGCTCTTTCCTTCTCAAGGGTTGAAAGTTAATCCCTTGTGGATTACTAATTTTTCCAAAGTAATGTACTCAACTTCACAACCCTGAAGCTTAGACCCTTAATCTCATATTTTTTGAGTTTGAAGGCAAATAGGTTATTAGGAAAGACGTGTCTGGATGTGGCTTCATGTGACCAGGAAGTATGCTCTGTGAGATTGCATCTGGTGCATGGCTCCTGCCTCTCAGGCTCTGTCTCTGTTGAAGTATCTCCACTGGAAGGTTGAAGATTTGATTCTGAGAGCATGAGCAAACCCAAGGCCAATATCCTAAGGCAATGGCAAACACTTATGCTCATGCACAGAATATTAAGAGACTTGATTTCACCTTATTATCCCACGCAGGTCATATTGTTTGTTGCCAAGTACATACAAAGTGAATTATTTGCCATGATCTGTGAACCAGTTATCCACAAAGAAGTGCAGAGCTTTAAAAATGGACTTGGAGATTCTACTCATCATGAGACACCACAAGTAATCATCACAAAACACTCATCTTTATTAGCTAATAATTCCCTTCACAGATATTCTTCATATGTAGGAATGATTTTCTGATTCCCTTAAATCCTTGCAGGAGACAAAAAGAAACACTTTACCAAAAAAGCCCTAGAACAACTGAAATCACTTCCTCAAAAAGAAAAGATTCACAAAATTATCTGTATGTGAGACACAATCCTTCCAATATTCAGCAGCTTGTCATATTCAAGAGTACTATATCATCTTCATGGATTTAAAGCAATAATTTATATCATGAAAAGTGAAATATGCCTAAATCTTATTTTTAAATGGGAAAATTAATCACAAAATATCCAATGTGAATTGTCCATTTTTCCTGTGCATTGTTTCCTTTCTCATTCTACTTGAGTGTAGGCCCCAGCTGCTCTATCTCTAGTGATTTTCATGCTCTATGCATCTTTTTGAACTCTTTCTGTATGCTGAAACAACTATACATGTATTCAGTACTCTAGTAAATTCTAGATTCCTTACAAACTCCTCACCCTTTAAAAAGATGAAACTACCAATATAGTTTGAATCCTTCTGAAGCTGAGTCACACCACTCAATTGAAATTATAAACCTAAAGCTGTGTTACAGATATGACACTAAGAGATATATTATAGAAATGCTTGTTATGTCTAATTCTAACCCTAATGTCTAACCATTCAGCCCAGTGTGTGCCAATTTAAAATTTCTATTTTATCCTCTCATCTGGGGGATACATGTCAAGCAATATGAAACAGATTGGACCACATCAGTACAATAATAATAATGAAATCCAGGGAAACAAAGACACAAAATACCCACAGTAGTGTTCACATTTCTAAACAGGAAGGCACTGCTCTCCTGATAGAGCTGCTCAGGAGAAACAGGTGAATACAGCTCTCCAAACTGGAAACAACTGGGTAAGTGAGGTTCATGTTCCACAAGGGACAATATGGAGACTGGAAGGAGTGACACAAAAGTGGTATATGAGTTTCAAAATGAAAATGACTTGATACACCTAAAAGTAACTGACAACCAGATGCAGTTAGTATGCAAAAAAAGAAACCTGATACTGCAAATACCATCACTAAGCATTAGATTTTTTCAATCTACTGAATACAAATGCCCTAATCAGTATTTCAGACACAACATAAAGACAAATTTATAATACAACTAAAAATCACATGTACCTTACTGAATGCAGGACACTATGAATCACTGGTTGTTCACCCATGGTGTCCTTTTTCTGAGACCAGAAACTCGTTTCTGCATCCTCCCGACATAAGCAGATAAACTTTGCCTTGTGCCATGTATCACTAGTTGTGTCAACTTAAAAATTCAATATAAATTTAAAAATTCAATTTAAATTGCAAACATTTTCTCTTCATTATCTAAGGGCCCGTGAACTTTAGAAAAGATAATGTGGGGTGGATATAAACTCTTAATGTGCATCTCATATTGAAAATCTCTTGCTCAATTATTTAGGTGGCCTTAGTTTTTAAATACCCCTAACTCTCCCAAGGGGCTGGCATTAAATTTGTGTACCATCATGTGTTTATTTTACCCCAACACTGAAACCTTGATGAAATTTCATGACATAAAATTGAAAACACTGATGCAGGCATGGTAGTGCATTCCTGTAACCCTAGCACTACAGGGGATGATGCATGAGACTCTCTTTACACTTTTTTTACTCTTTATATTTGCTTCACCTCATGGTTTTACTCTACAAAAATCCCTAAAAAATACAGAATCCTTAGCAATCTACTTGGAATCATTTCTGTCTCTCTCTCAGACTGAAGTTTTCTTTATCTTAATAAATACTTCTGGCCTTAACCTCTGTCGTTCATAAAATTCATTCTTCAACTTAAGAGAACATGAACTTGTACTGGACATATGGTAGGTTGCAAGTTTCATTCCCCTCTATCAAACCCAACATTCAAAGTTCTGGCAAAGTCTCAAAGCTTCTTAGCACATTGGACAAAGTGGTAACACCTCACCTCAAAACGCAACAAAAATTTTGTAAAAAATTTTTCAAATTTGGGAGGATTTATGTAAGGGCCAAAATTCTGATGTCAGCCACTGGAAAATAAGAAACATCATATGTGTCTTGAAATCTTTGGCATCCAACAGAAACTCCTTCCCATGATACTTTAATTGTGATGTCCAACATAATTTCAAAACCTCCAATACTAGAATTTAAATTTCCCATCTTAAATAAGAGATGATTAGGAGAGCTGATCAGTAGACACAGAAGAAGCAATGATCTATGACTAAGTTTCCCTGCTTTCTACAGGCCTGTGACCCATTTCCTACTCTCAGACCTAGCAAGCAGACAATGCTTCAGTGCAGTCATACCAGGTCAAGCTCACCTCAGAAGTCCTTTATCTTCTGGTTGCTGATTGGGCCTATATTCACATACCACTGCTTTCCCATTTCTTTTCAGTCATGCTGGCTCTTCTCATTTAAAAAGAACTTGTGTTCTTATTCTTTAATACTCATGCAGATCCTGACTGTGTGAATATACCCCTACTTCAGCAAAAATCCCATCTCAGTGTTTCAATTTTTTTGTGTTTTTTGAGACAGGGTCTCACAATGCAGTTCAGGATGTTCTTGAGCTCACTTCATAATCCAAGATTGCATTAAACTTGCAAATATGCTCCAGAACCAGCCTCCTGAGTGCTGGGATTAAGGGAATGTGCCACCATGCCCACTCAGTGTTTCAGATTTCAGCTTAAAATGTAAGCACAGCCCAAAGGCTACAGCTATTCCTTCAGAGGTGACATATTTCTATTTCCACCGTCATACTTATCACAGCTCTACATTTCCTGTAGACACCAATTTGCTGTATTTCTCAGTGTGGGGTTAACAGGCAGCACCTACAGGAAGTTGTTCTCTGCAGAAACTTCCCCCTCAGGAGCTAAAGCATCACCATCCCCCAAATACTTCACAGCACTCTAAACTCTATGAAACGCCTAGGTTCAGTAGTTTAATAGTAAGTGTTGATTTACTCACCTTATACATAAGGGTTAGTGAAAGTATTTTGCCCGAGGACACCGTAGCAGGTGGGAATTTGGGAGGTGGAACCAAGAGGCTCTATCTTGAGGTCACCTTTCCCACCCCTAGGCAATTTACCTGTGGCACCAAATTAATTCCAATGAACTACCTGTGCATCAGTAATGGTCCTTCGGCTGCACCCCAAACCTAAGCTATATATATGCCCCCACACCACGTGTCGGGCAGAGAGAATGCCAGACCCCAGAGGTCATGGAGTCTCTCTCCACATTCTTAAAATAAAGGCTACTTTTATTTCATACTTCTTACCTTTTTAGCTGTGCCAAAAATTCTATCAGATGGTTCCTGACCAGGAACGGCAGATGAGAGACCTCTGGTGAGTCCCTGCCATTCACAGACTGGACTGCATACTGGATTAATTCCTCACTTTTCAATACAAGTGAACTGCTAAACTTGTCACCGTTGGTTTGCAAACAACACAGGTCTAATTCATTTACCATAGATGAGCAAACTCCGGAGATTACTGTGCACTGGGCCAGGCCCCAGGAGGGTTTCCTTCCCATTGCCTGGACTCAAGTGGTGATCTCACATCCTTAGCCCTGAGGCAGAGCTTTTACTGTAAGCTTTCATGTCCCATACAGCCCCAGGCAAAGCCTTTAAGCTCTCACAAGTAGAGCCATTACTATAATCCACAGGAAATCCACTCGTGCCTTTGGTGACAACCAAAAAACATGAGCTTCGGAACTGATTGGTTAGGTGATGACCTGACCTGGTTAGATCATGGTCCGTTGCCTCGCCTGATTGACTTCACCGGCCAGGCCCCACGCTGGATTTTCTTGTCTTGGGGACCACTTCCTGTCCCCCCCCCCCAAAAACCATACCTATTTATACCTTATCACACTGACGACAAGTTTGCAAAAACTCTCCATCTTTGGGCCTTTGTTTTAAGAATGTGTCCTCCTCCCTCTGCTCCTCCAGGATCCCTCTACCTCCCCACACTTAGGAGATAACTTCTTTCTTTACAGCCTTTCAAAGCTTTCTCAGCATCCTCCTTTCCTCCCCACTTCACCCATTTCTCAGTCCCTCCCTGCACTGTGTGCTGACTGCCTTTCCCACTGGGATGGGGGAGGTGGCCTGGACAGTGTTGGGGGAGGTACACACGGACAGCGTTGGACTGCCCGCTGACAGTGCAGATGGCACTGGCGGCGTAGGCGGGGCATACACAGTGCGCACCAATTGGCCCGGCCTAGGGGGCTGTTCTGGCCCCTCATGCCCCACCCCAGCTCTGCACCCCACCTGCCCTGTGCGCCTGCCCACTCTGCGGGCACCCTGGGCGCTCTGCCCACTCTCCGTGTTCTGCCTCTGCCCTATGCACTCCGTGTGTCTCCTGAGGAGTCCCAGCCCCGCCCCCAAGTGCAAGCATGGCTCTGAGTGCCAGCACTGCTCTGAGTGGCAGCTTGGAAGAGGATACAATGGGTTGCTGTGGGAGAAAAAGGGGCCAATTCTTATTTCAAGAGATCTCTAAGTCATTGTTGCTGATCTGATGGTATATTCATGCTTTCAAACATAAAATTGAGATACAAAACAGACAACATGAGTAAGCCAGTCAAATAATTTTTAAACAAAAATTTATCTAATGTATGATGACAAAAGTCTTCTTTAAGATCCAGACATATGCTTAGAGATGTTTCACAAATTTCTTCAGTGTTCAAATTTTAAAACACTCATAAGTGATAGCCATTTAATGTTCTATGTTAAGCTTACTGCCTATATTGCACTGTACTGTTATCAATCTTGTTGATGTTTAACAACTGAAATTAAAGGATGATTATAAGTTCTTTTTGGATTCCTTTCCTGAGAACCACTAGATCTTTTCCATAAATAAGGTTATATGATGCATGCAAAACAAGGAGACCAACAATGAGGCAGAGGCCATACTTGAGCCTTTCCACCTGCCCTGGCTCCACCCTCTGCTGATCCATATGGCGTTAAATGACACCATAGCTGATTTCTCTCCTACATAAAAAGGTAAAATTAATAAAACAGGCCATCCTCCAAAAATCAGATGGCATTAGACATTCTAACAGCATAAATACATACTTATATTTGACAAATAAATGACATGTCAGTTCCTAAAATTCCCTAGACCTTCTCCTCCTTATGGGAAGCCATTACTAAAGTTATAATCATAAATACTCTGTTTATTGTATTATTTGACTCCTGCACACTTAATTAATTCCACAGATACCTTTTACTGTGGACCAGATCCCAAAGCAAAAGGCTAAACTTGGCCCTCAGACCCCACAGGGAAAATTTCTTGATATGGCTTTTTTTGTGTTTTCAACAACAGAGATAAAAAATAACAACCTGATCTTTTAGCAGTGACACTTGGAACTCTGATACAGTTAAACCGACACAAGGTAGAGCTGCTTGAGCCCCCATAGACCATTCTTCAAATGCAGCAGAAGGACACTGGGCAAGAGAGTACCCCATCCTGGCATTCCTTTGGGGTCCTACCCCAGGGCTAGCTGGACTGTTCTAGCTACCAGAGAGTGGGTAAGCAATCCTAACTTCTAACCCTCATAGGAAATGCCATCACTGCCAGATTCATCACTGATAGATCTGCTTGGTCTTGCTGCTGAAGACTGACGGGGCTCGGGGTCCACAGCCTCCATTAAGGTGTCCTTCTCAGAGTCCCAAGTCCCCACTAAAAGTCTCAGGTAAGACATTCTCTATACTTATAGACATAAAGGCCATATATAGGGTTCTTCCTGAGTTTTCAGGCCGCTATATTAAGTGCTCAGTCTCTATAGGGGGTATTGATGGCTAACCTATACAGCCTTTACAGACAGGGCCTATTTCATGCAGGTTCCAGACTGCTGCTTCTCGGGTCCATCCCATAGTTTGAGATACCTGAATCCCACCTGCACTGCCCATGCCATGCCTATTATTAATTCATCTCGGGGATCCTTCAATTTTTCTTTGTGTTCTCCAATATCCCATAGCTCCTAAACATTTATGGGGACTTAAACCTATAATTAAGTGACTTTTAGACAATGGTTCTCTTAAACCTACCCATTTACCCTATAATACTTCTATTCTCCTGGTATTCAAGCCTGATGGGCCTTACCCTCTAATACAAGACCTTAGTCTAGTACAAGACTCAATATTGCTGTTACCCCAATCCACCGAGTGGTGCCAAACCCTTATACCATGCTCTCATATCCTTCCCTCCACCACTCACTTTACAGTCCTAAATCTTAAAAATGCCTTTTTATTCCTTTGTGTTTATGCAGACTGACCAAGACACTCTGAGGCCTCAACAGCTCACACCTGTTATTGCTAGTAAACCTTTCCTCAGGGATACATAGTACTCCCTTCCTTTTTATTCACTAATTTCTCAGACACAACCCTGGTCAAGACTAATAGATAAATTTTATCTTCTCACCTTTGTTTATACTTTTTCAGGATAAATAAAAGCCTTTCCCACAACCAGGGAGACTGCTAAAATACTTCTGAAGTCCTGTTACAGCGAATCATCCCAAGGACTACAATGAAGTTAGAGCTTCATATGTGGTCCTCTTGGCAACCTGAACAAAAGTCAGAGTTGCTAACTGCCATCCTGGTTTCACATCACTCAGGCTAAGTGGTGCCCTCCCAGCCCTAGATCTAACCATCCTTTTGCCCACTCGTCTCCACCTCACCAAGGCCACACAGCCACAACTCTCAGGCTGTCATGTTTTGTTATCCAATTTGGTTCCTAATTTCTTATCCTTTTTACAGCAGGACTCTCAATAGTATTTCCTAAAGACTCCCACATCATGCATACCAGAGATGTCTTATCTACCTACCCTGTTAATTTTTACCCTTTCAGATGGGGGAATAATCACCTCTCATAACCCCACATTTATTTTTCAGAATTCTACCTCACCATGGCAATGATTTCTACCTCAACATTGTCCTGATAAAATGACATTTTCAAATTAAATCACTTTTCCTTCTACTTCATCTGGGTCCTTAAATATGATAGTGGCATGCCTCCTCATAACACCTTGTCTCTTTGTTTTTCCAGTCTAACATGCAGGCATTCACCAGTGATAAAATTGTCCTAGTTAAAACACCTAGCAGCAGCTTCTACATGGGCATCAACCGTCATCCCATCGACTCTCCCAAACCCCAGTACAGTGCCCCCTTTCAGCAGGAAACAGTAAAAGAATGAAAAACTATGCCCATTTTCCTAATAATCAAAAGATGAAAATGAAAGGATTTTGCCCCAGGTGGGACACTTTAGCTGGTGGGAGTCTGGGAGGGGGAACCAAGGGGGCTCTATCTTGAGGTCACCTTTCCTACCCCTAGGCAATTTACCTGTGGTGCCAAATGAATGGGCTACCTGTGCATTAGTAATGCCCCTTAGGTTCCACCTGAAACCCAAGCTACATGTATGCCCCCACACCACATGCTGGGTAGAGAGAATGCCAGACCCCAGAGGTCATGGAGTCTATCTCCACATTCTTAAAATAAAGGCCACTTTTATTTCATACTTCTTTTCTTTTTATCCATGCCAAAACTTCTATCAAATGGTTCCCTCCCATGCCCAAAAATTCCATCAGAAAAGGCCTGATGTAAAGTTGCAAAATTAAGGGCTTTGATAAGGATTAAAATGAGAATAGATAATGACCTAGGGCTTTGAACTAGCAGGGAATCCTCTGCCCCACAATAAAAGGCAGACACTTGCCTACTATAGTGACTTGCAGCTGCTAATTACTAAACTCCAGAGATAACAGAAATGTAAATACAAACAGCCAGTTTATCTCTAAACTCTATTGAAGAAATGGGTTAGAGAACCTGGGCTCAAAATATTTCATAGTAAGCCCTGGCCAGGAGGAAAACCAAAAGTGGCTGCCAAAGACCCTGCCATGTTGGACCTTAGGCAGCTGCACAAGACTATTTGCCTGCCCTCTTGCTAAGCACCCTAGGTGCCAGGCAGGAGAAGAACCAGAAGACTCAAGACATGGCCATGTTGGGGCTTGGATAGCTGCCCAAGAAATCAAGGCTGCAGAAGAAAGCTATTTGCTTATCCTCTTGGTAAGTGCCCCTGGTGCCGGCCAGGAGAACCAGCCAGCTGTTCTCGTGAGCCTACCAGTGAGTGGGCTGAGAATCAAACATCTCCCTACATGCAGCAACTGGGGATAGAGTTCTGAGCATCTCTTGAGAGGATGACCATATGCAGTATAGCAAATAAGTGGGATTTCCTTCTATATTCTGCTTCAAGGCAAAGGCTATTTTCACTGTTATGTTTTGTAATGACTGTTGTGCTCTATTCAATATTCTCCTTCAACTCATTTTACAATGTTCCGTTATTGGCTTAATTTCTCTATACCTAATTGGCTAGACAACTATTGTGAAGATAATGAGATATACTACAGTACCTATTACTTCTATCCCAGTATTCTGCTTTGAAGTTCTATAGCCATGTCACTACACTGTCTCAATTGGCTTTGTTTTATCTTGTTTGTTATATTTTTTACTACATTCTAAATAAAATTTTTAAAAAACAAAATAGTTCTTTTTTCTGGGTGTTGTGACTCAGTACTGTAATCTCCTCACACTGGAGGCTGGTGGAGGACAATGTCCCAGAGTTCAAAGCCAGGCCATACTACGCAGATACACTCTGTATCCAAAGAATAAAAAGTAGAAAGAAAATTAAAAAAGCAAAAAAAGATACATTGATAGATAGATGGATATCTATTCTATTTTTTTTTTTTGTCTTTTTCGTTTTTTATCGGTACCAGGGATCGAACTCATGACTGCCTGCTTGCAAGGCAGGTGCTTATGCCACTGAGCTAAATCCCCAGCCCCGGATATCTATTCTAAATACATAGAGCCATGTACCCAGCTAGCTGACTAGCCACATGGAAAGCATTCCCAAATCAAAATGCTCTTCTCATTTTTTATTTTTATTCCAGAGGTCCACATCCTGTGTTGTGAGATTATGAGTTCTGTTTATGCAGTAACATCATTCAAGTAGAGATCTCACAGAAAGAATTAAAATGATTTTTTTGTCATTTTGAGGATACTACTCAGGTTTGCCTCCAAAGCACTGCTCACCCCAAACCATGCTGTGCCTGTGGCTCCCCAAAAAGAAATTCTGGGTTTATAGTGGTCCTGCCCATTTCCTTCCAAGACTCACAGTTCCAACCCATTCCCAGCTCCAGTGTTATCAAGTTACCACTGCAATGCTTGATGATGTCCAAGGATCCTTTTCAGCCCTCAGTAAAAAGTCACAAAAACTGGAGGTGAGCTCAGCTCCAGTCTCTAGTCACTGAACTCACAGTGAGCACTTCTGCACCAGGAACAGGAAGAGCCCACCTCCCTTGGCCACCTGATTGGGTGTGCAGCCAGCCTACATTTATCAATGATTGGCTCCTGGGCCCATCTCTATCCTGTGATGTCAGCATTACTGTCCAGGATTCATACTTCCCTTTAAGGGCTTAACTTCTGGCTTTTCAGAGCTGTCCTGCATTTCCTAAAGGTCTAAGTGCCATCTCCTGAACCTGGGTCATAAATGTTTCTAGGTGAATGTCCTCTGGAAGAACCAATCCCTTGAGGACAGAAAAGTTTATTTGGTGAGCTTAGACTGGGACAAGTTGGAATAGGTAGGGGCTGCTGTCAGGAAAGAGGCCATAAGCTTTATTACCCAGATTTTCAAAGGGTCTCTCTAATTCTGTCCATTTTCATTGAACTAATTATTTTGTGTCCACCAGGAGAACTCTCTCACAGCATGAATGAAGAAACTACACATAAACAGTAAAAGGTTTCTGGGAAAAAGTAAAGATTAAAGAAAATCAAGCAGTTCAACTGCTTCAGAAAAGCTTAATGTGTCATAAATCATACCTGAATTTTGAAGATAAACCTAGCCAAGCATAGGGTTTACAACACCTGCTTAAACAGAGTCCTGAACTTGATCCACTAGATCACCTCCTGATATTCAGTGTTGGATACTTTATTTTAGACTGCAGGTGAAAACACTTTTGGCATGTATTTCTATATTCCACTCTAGGGTCATTAGATTACTACATTAGCCTGTCACCTAATTGTTAACTTGACTGCATATCTAAGGTTGCTTTTAGCCAACCCATAAATTTTAGATCTAAAATACAGACAGCATGAAAGAAAATCTAATGAAGCTTATGTGGGAATTTTCATGCAGGAAATGGTACTAGAGTTGGGATCTCAGGGTCTGGCACAACTTTTAGGGAAATGGCTTTTTTGCCTTTCATCAATGCAGCCAGAAACAAAGCCCATCAGTTATGTGGCCATTACCTTCTCACAGGTAGCTGTGTGACTCATTTCTTTTCCTTCTTCCAAATGATGTGGTTTCATTTTACATTTCAATATTGCTATCTCTAAGCCCTTATTTTTATGAGTGTTACATTCATTCATTTATTATAGGGCAGTGATAGGGTGCACCCCCACCTATGATTAGGCCAGGTAGAAAATCATTTCTCTTCTTTTTTATGGATGGCACTTATTGAGCAGCCAAAACCTTTTTCTTTTCCTTTTAAATTTCTAGTAAAATAAGAAAAATATCTCTCCTAAGTTCCTGCTTTTGTCCACAGCTACATTCCTTGTCATGGTGAGTCCCTGAGCTCAGTTTCTGCCAAATTAACAGGTTCAGTAATTTTCCCTGTAATTATTACTAGTTGCTGACTAATAATGG